CACTTCTTGTCATAAGCCATTCGGAGTGTGAATAGGCACACAGAATCATCACTTCACCAAAAGATTCTGCAGAATAACTCTTTATTTCAACTTTGCCAGTTCTGAGAACAACAGCTCGTAAGGTTTTGCAGTGTCTGTTCTAACCATGTACCTAAGAGCAAGTCAGCCTGAAATAAAACATTTACTTTCTTCAGAAAGGAGCAAAGTCCATACTCTTTGCTTCTAGGATAATACAGACATCCAGTAGTGTCTGAACAAGGTGAATGTAGCTTACCATACTCAACACTGTTCATTTAAGGCAGGCATTAGTACCAGAAAAGCTGTATGTTAACATATCCCTCATGAAAAAGAAGTAACGAGAAACTTTATTTTTAAATTTAATGAAACATCAAAAGCAAAGTTTTAAAGACAGAATAGGTGCGCATTATTACTATGTTTAGAGTTTTTGAAAAGAAAAGGCTAACATGAAGTAAGTCACTCCAGAAGTATAAGCTTGCAGTACTTAACAGCCTGAGCTTTACGGGAAGAACTTTAAGATTCTTAGAAGCTCTTAGCTTTAACTTAATCTTAGACTACTTACACGTAAAGCAAAGAAGATAAGTAAAGCAAAACACTGTACGAAAAACTATACCATACAATAATGTGTTAACAATAGATTAACATTCTAAATAAAAGCATTGGTTGCATCATAAGCATAGTGCATCACAGCACACAAATTATTTGATTCTATCACAGTATTTCATCAAGTGAGAATGTTTACATGGGGTAAGATTTACAGCACACAAAATTGTAGCCATCATTAGCATTTCTTCTTATGCGATGCCACGATAAGAGTCAAAGCTCCCATCTAATTTGAAGGTACACGTATGTTTCTTCCCTGCTTTAAATCAACTGAGCGGGTAAGATACCCCAGGTTTTTGTTCAAGTCACTGTACAAGCTCAACCCAAATAAATGTCTTTACAACAGTAGCTAAAAAGATACCAACTATGAGAAGTTACCACACTTGAGTGACTACTGGCAACCAAGAAGACAGCTTGTTTATCAAAATGAACAAGCATCCATGGAGTTGATCAGGTTTGGCAGAACGTGAACGTGCAGATACAGATACACCCCCCGTTCTCACTGACAGCACCTCAGTGACAAGTCAGGGCTCGGTGTCAGTCACCAACCGCTGCCCGTTAAGCTTTCACTCATTCCTCGCTAAACCCCTGCATTCCAACTCGTGGACGTAAAAAGCAACCACAGGCCCCGAGCACGTCACAAGTTATCAGCTGTCTCATGTCATTAAACTTCACCGTCCAAAGATCTTTAAACTGCCAAATTATCTCGATTATTAATGGAAACAGTATCACATACTGTATTTCCTTTTTATCTTCCCAGGCTTTCAAAGTAACTTGAAAAAAAAGGTAAATTCACATTTCCTTCCTAATATAGACTAAGAAAACATTTTTTCTTTCTTAAAGGGTACTGAGAAGCGTACAACTAGTGACAGCAGGACTTCACAGCCAGGCTACGCTGAGAACAAGGCAGGCAGGGCTGAACGTGGTAACACACCCCTGTACCTTAATAAAAAACACATGGCTTTTTTCCCCTTCCTCAGCCAGCGGGCATTTCAGAGAGGCATGTGCCCTAGCTGCCGTCAGGGAAAGCATCCCCTGGGACCACCCTGCCCGGGAAGCAAGTGCGAGGAGATGCGCTGCCCGGTCCCGGCCACAGCGGCCCGGGAGCGAGGGCCCCGCCGCCGGCCCGACGGCCGCCCCCCACCAGGAGGAGCAGCGGAGAGGCGGCCGGGGAGAAGCGCCGTGCCCGGCCCCGGCTTGCCGGCTCCGAAGGACAGCACGGTGTGGGGGGGAATTCAACCGGCGTCCCGGCTGCGGCCCTTCCCTCCCGCAACGACCTCTCCGCCCACACCGGGAGCCCCCAGACGCGTCGTCGCCGCCTCCCTCCGCCCGCCCTCCCTTCCCCC